ATAGCTCATTTACTCAATACTGGCCTGTGCGACAACTTAACCATTTCGCCACAACATGCCTCATTTGTCTCTCTACTTAGGAATATAAATGGGTACTTGTACTGTGGTATTGATTGCATTACAGTATTCTTATAAGCTGAGTGCACCTGCGCAACTGGGTATACTCCCCAGGGAGCAAAGAAGGTTGCACTGTGCGCTGGTTTGTCAATGTATGTAATCCAATGACCAGGATTGCAGGCATATGATAAAATAGTATTTATTTTTTGTGCGCTGAGTACACATGCACGACCAGGTATACTCCCCAGGGAGCAGAGATTTCTGGTTTCAACTGGCAGTAAAAAACTGAATTGCGAGACGTTTACAATATAATAAAAATGCTAGATTAAATTGTTTTCTTAAAAAATATAAAAAAATAAATTGAAAAAAAACCTTACACCACAGAATTTAAAACAGGGAAGAGATGGGTGCATTTTGTATGTAATCCAGTGACCAGGGGTTGTAGCGACTTCTTGCCTTTGGTCAGTATTGGCTTGGAATTTGCGGCATATAATAAAATAGTATTAGTATATTTATGAGGGAAAATTTATTTCCCTTATGAGAGCATCACACTCTACCCTACTGTCATTTTTGTTTAAAAATCCAATATTAAATTTTTAAACAAAAATGACAATCTACCCTACTGTCATTTTTTGTTTAAAAATTTAATATTGAATGTGGATCTTCATATTGTGCTGTCAAATTTATATTCTGTTTTTGACTGTATCGTTGTGTTGCTGATGGCAATAAATTCATTGCTTGATATTTGTATATACATAATATATTATAATAATTAATAATTTGTTTTTGTAGGATTGTAATTGAAGAGATTTTGAAAGCTAATGAAGTTCTAAAAGATAAACTACCACAGACTTTTGATGACATGACACCTGTACAAAAGGTTTGTTAAGTTTTCTTAATTTGAGTTATTATATTTAAAGTACTTTATTGTACAGATACCAAGAAAATCTTATTTGTAGGTATAAAACATAGATTATATTCTATGTCTACCAATTAGGCATCATCCACTAAAAAAAAATTGCAAGATTGCAAAATACATTCCAGGGGGATGGGATCAACGGTGTATATGTACTACTTAATGAAAATACAAAATGATGTTCTCAACATCATTTGTGACAAAGACAAGCCAAACCAGTCACTCGTCGCAAAAATCAATTTTGAGTTATTAATACAGTGCTAGAGAGTAAAATAATAGCTATAAAATGGTAAAAAAATTATTCAAATCGGACACTCCCTTATGAAGTTACAAGCATTTAATCACACAGCTGTTTAAAGAACAATATATGAGAAATCAGCCTTCAAAGTTTATGATTTCAGGCATTTCTCATGCAGAAACTATCATTAAATCCTTAAAAAGTGTTGTTTTAACATTAAAAATGGGGAAAATAACAGCATAGAATGATGTATAGATATATAAAGGTTAGTTTAGTGCAATAAAATAGATTTTTAAAAATTTGACATTCCAGCATGTTTTGGCCATTTTCTCTGAAACAGGATTTGCGACGAGTGACTGGTTTGGCTTGTCTTTGCCACATATATTATGGTGGTAGGGGAGGGGGGTATCACAGGAAGAGTATGTATAGTACACTAGAAAATAATGAAAATAATGGATGATCTCTATTTATTGGTACTCCCTCTTTATACGTACCATATTAACAGTTTTCCAATAAAGGCCCCGCTTTGAATAAACATCTCCCCTCCCCCTCCCCCATCCTCCCTCTAGAGCCTCATTTGGAATAAATGCATCCCTCAAATAAGTGTCCCTCTAAATCACAGTAAACAAATCTAATGCAAGCAACAACATTCTCAACACCTTCTATTAAATTTCTACTCCAGTAGAATTACATTTTTTCAAACACATTATCACAATAATTATGTTTTGGAGTTCCACATTTACAGTGAAATTAAGGGGCGTTTATTTGTGTATTATATGTATCCATTTTACACCCAAAAAAAATGCCTCACTTAAATAAACTTAAATGTTAACTTAAGCAAGTAAAATACAGACTGCTATGGGAATTTCTTCCTTCTACATTCCTATATACGCAATGGTTGCAGTGCCACAAATCAGGCTCTCAGAGTCCTCGGTTTGAACCCCTTGCTGTGCATTTTGCCTGTGTCATTGAACAAGGTGAACCTGCAGTTGTCTTTCTCCACCAGTATAAGTAGGGGTGGCGCCAGCAATTTGGCCCCAAGGACTCATGGTTGCCTTTCATATTTTTTAAATGTTGTTTTTACATCTCACATTTTTTGATATTCTCTTGCAATTCAATGTATCTTATATTAATAATGGTCTTATACATAGCACCTTTTCCTCACAGTTACTGACAAAGTAAATAAACATATTTTAATTTGAAGTTTGTTTTGAGGATGGGCACAGCCCCTGAATAAGGCTTGTTACTAGGCTTTGGTAAACATATAAATGTTGCAGGAAATGTACTTGGGCCTAGAATTGTAATCTGTTTACAAAATACACATGACAGTGTGAAGATTCCCAAAATCCTTGTGTAGTGTGCTGTTTCATCTTGATTTAGGCCTATACTTATCACCAAATTGAATGGTTTGTTGCTTAATATTAGCTTTTAAAAAGTTGTGATTCACTTGTTATAATAAAATACCTTGTTTACGACTGTTAGCCTCACTGCTTTGAAATAGAATGATGGTGTGATATTTTGTATTTATTTTTTTAGGTTGGAAGGCTTTTTTATTTCAGCAAATGATGCCAGCAAATCGGGTTTTAAGATAACATGGCTGTTAATGTTACATAAACTTGTTTTATACTTTTACTGTATATACTTTTCTAGAGTCGGCATTTGTTTTTTCTTTATTTCTGATGATAATTAAAAGTAATTAACATTAATTGCCAATTTTCATGCTGGTATATAAATGACTATAACATCAACTTTTATTATTTATTATTATGAATATAAAAAAATACTGGCTATATATTGTGTAATCTGTCCATAGGTGAATACCTTGATGAGATTGATGCCAAAGGACATATTAGACAGAGGTCGTGAAGTCAATGCTGAAGCCTTGAATGAAATCCACAAAGGAACAAGATAAACCACAACTCCTGCAGACAACCCTGGATGATGGAACCATCCATTTACTATTTTCAGTTTGCAGAAATTTAATCAGCTGTTATTTGCAACCCAAGAGCCAGTGGTGTATCTAGTGCACATGCCCTCCCTATAAAAGCTTGCACCCCTGCTTCCCCCCCCCC